GACGGATGTTTTATTGACGTCGGGTTCGATGGGTCGCTTCTGAGTGCTCGACATATTTGGGTCGTGGGCTAAAAAGGTTGCGGAATGGGGATCTACATTATATTGTGTTTATTTTATTCTATTTTATATTTGTGGTTTCCTTTTAATCTTTTCACTATGTTTATTTTTGTTTTTCTTCTTTTAGGCTAGCCCCTTTAGAGTTGACATCTACTCTGAAAAATGCCGGGGGCGATTGAAGGTGCTTCAGCTTCAATCGGGAGGGCGTGCTTTAGAGAAGGCTGTTTGTGCATCTGTGAAGGCCACCGAGGATATACAGATAAATAAATTGAGCAAGGACTTAAATTCTTTGTATTACACAGGAGACAGCCGTGTAACAGTTGTTATAGATAATCAGGTAAAGCCAATAATAATTGTGAACTGTCGAGACAAAATGAGTCTTGGTACGAAAAATAAAAAACGATTTATTGATATATTTAGATACAGTAGATGACTATATAAGCCTTATTTTAGTCTTTGAATTATGTTTGTAAAACATACTTAAGAGAAGATCACCTCTAAAGATAAACAACTGATGAATTTTGTGTTGGTTTTCCTATCAATTCTGAAAAAAAAAACTTTACAAAATGTGCTTCAAGAACATGATTACCAGGGCTTGCCCTAACTTTTTTTGTTAACTAGCCCACTGGGCTAGTTTACTAGAGATTTTACTAGCCCACAGACTATTTTACTAGCCCACAGGCAGGAAAACATTTTGTTTCAAAATATTTATTAGCGACAATTAAATTTGAAGGTTGATTTGCAATTTCATATTGTAGCTTTGCTGTTTGAGTAGTACCCCCTCATATTAGTGTAATAAATTAAAAAAATCTCCCATGCTGCAAAATCAACTCTGGTTATAACACTAACAGGGACAGATGAGCATGTTTTGCATCTCCCTGGTTATAATGTCGGCATTCTAATATTTAACAAAGGGCCCAGAAATCAATCAAACCAATGCATCTGTTAAATCTTCAGGTCTCAAGTCACTCACCCACCAATGGCAATAAATCTTGCTCCAGGCTAGACTACATTGGCCTAGGCCTAAACAAGACCCAGGGCCTAGGCTAGCCTAGCTTCCTATAGCATTGAATTACTTAATTATTAAAAGTTGAACATTTTATAAATATCATTAGGAGAAAATAATATGAATACAAGGTGGTACATTAAATTTAATGTACCTAAATTAACCCGATTCAACGATCAGACGATCTTCTGTTGAGAGAGAGATAACATGCCATCCTGTAGTGGTTGGTGAATGACTTGGGGATCATCTTATTAATTCAACATTCGCGCATGTGGAGAGCTGAACGCTAGCTAGGGTGTTCTCTCTGGGCTGCGGTACCTCTTGTGCAGGGATTATCTCGAAAGTTCCGTGTTTTTTTAAAATTTTTTTTAAAAATGTTTTTCTTGCTAATTCTCCACTAGACAACCGGGCAACATGAGGAGTAAATAGACTAGCCCGGAGCGGTTTTTACTAGACATTGTACGCCGGGCTAGTACTAAATCGAGCCCTGGTAAATTACATAAGGAAAATCATCTCCAAACTTTTTCTGCTGTGAAATATACATATTAAACTTACCATAAAAATCGAAACTCTATTTTTTTTTTCAAAATATCACTTCTGATATATTTTCTTGAATATATCAAATTCTCCTAGTGTACCACAAGACTCATTTTGTAGCAACAGCTCACAATTGTTATAGCAATAACTGTAATATTGATAATGGTGACAGTACAGTATTGTAAATTCAGCTGTGTTGAAAATATGGTACTGTTATTTTTTTTTTTTGTATTTAGCACTTTAATTAGTGGAAAAGGTGCTATTAATTGATTGATTAATAGATAGATGTATTGGTATATTTATTTTTTCAATCGATTTAAAATTCCATCCATTAATTGTATAAGCTAATAGTGATATATTTAAATGTTAGTGGCATATTACAGGAGAACATTTACTTCCCTCCATTCCCATCCCAATACCTGCCCACCCACTGCTGGAGCAGATGCAGGGAGATGCAGATGGTGCGATCGTGACCTCCTAAATTGTATTAAGAAAAATAATTGTAATGTAAAACATTTTTAAGGTATGATAGTGCAAGTTCCAGGCACCTAGAGGTCCACGTACTGAAGATTTTGTACCCTCAGCCCCAACGATGATAGGGGCTGAGGTGGTGTGGACTCACACGCACCCCGAACCGCCACATCCTGCATCCGCTTTAGCACTGAAAAACTTGCTGTGCAAAAGAATACACTCAAATAGTTAAGAATTGAGACAGAAAACTTCTGTAAACTATTATAATAAGATTTTAAACGTGTAATTTGAAACTATCCTCTTTGTAGACCAATAGCCGTGCTGTAGTGAAGCTGGATTGTGGGAAAAGTCAAAACTGTATCAGTAACGTTGATGATATGGAAAGGACCGTGCAGATTCCACCAATGTCAATGAAAGTATGGCAAGCAATTTTATTTTGATTTGAGATATATATATATATATATCTATATATATCTATATATATA